TCTATTTATAAGCTTTTGGAGATGTCCTTTTGAATACGAATTTGTGTTTAAACGTCTTCTGCAGTTTATAACTGTCTAAACGCGTTTAGGGATAACCTCAGAACAGTTGGAGAAGTTCTGGGATGAAAGAATCCTTAAAAATCATCGAAATCCGTGTTTGGGGAGGTTTTGCACTCAATAAGAGTCCTGGTGGCTCGAAAATGTGCGAGTCAGCTTCTGGTGACTCGGAACTGTACGAGTCAGCTTCTGGTGACTCGGAACTGTGCGAGCCACCATTTGAGTGGCTCGCATTAGGTGCTGCAGCGACACAATTGGTGACTCGCGCCTATCACGGGCCTCCAAGTGGTTTGTTTCGTTCGGCTTTTTTGATACTTTGGCGATTTGTGACTCTTCCGCAAATTCTTGTTTTGCGTACCTTCATCGTTCGATAGCTTGATGCATTCTCTAACTGGATCCTTCATACACTTAACTGATGTCTGGATGAATTCCTCGACCTGGATAATACACGTTTATGTCTTTTCGCTTGTCTTTACTGTGTTTAAGGAGCTTATCAGGCAATTTTTTAAGCCCGCTATATCATATATTAACTACTACTATATATATATATATATCCATAGTATATATATAGTATATACACGTATATATTATACCTATATATATATACTATATAACATATATATATATATATATAATATATAATACATATATACTAATATGCGTGTCCAAAAAGGCCCGTCGACCGGAGCCCGGCCCGGAACCCGAGCAAGTTGGGCTTCCGGGCTAGGCCGGCCGCCTCTTTGGTGCCGCGCCGCGTCCAGCCCAGCCCGAATAATCATTTTTTTTTATTTTTTTATTTTTTATATGTATTATATATGTATAATATATGTATATATATTATATGTATATATAATATATGTATATATAATATATTTCTATATATGTATAATATGTCATATGTGTGTATATATACTCTCTCTTAGTATATAAGTATATATAAGTATACTCTCTCTTATATAAGTATATATATGTATAAGTATATATAAGTATACTTTCTCTTATATAAGTATATATAAGAATACTCTCTCTTATATATGTATAATGTATATATGTATGTATATATATACTCTCTCTCTCTCTAAGTATATATGTATATATAAGTATACTCTCTCTTATATATGTATATTCTCTCTTATATAAGTATACACTCTCTTATATATGTATAATGTATGTGTGTATATATATATATATACTATCTCTCTTAGTATATATGTATATATAAGTATACTCTCTCTTATATATGTCTACTCCCTCTTATATAATTATACTCTCTCTTATATATGTATAATGTGTGTGTGTGTGTGTATACTCTCTCTTTTAGTATATAAGTATAGTATATTACAATGGCTACTTCTTTCCCATTGGCCCAACGTGCAACGACTACTTATGCGATTCTCTCTCTCTCAAGTTATAACTTATAAATATATACAATATATTTACATATAATATATGTATATATTTTTTTGGTCAATGAAAAGATTTTATTCATTTACCAAAGAGAGAAATGTATATACATCAAGATCTCAAAGCATATGAGAGATCAAAAAAACTGAATACACTAAGTACAGAGACTACAAGAATTGACAGGTTAATTTCACAAAGAATGTAACCAGTCCCGATGCTCCTCCTGAATTTGTGAATTGAGGACAGCAGATAGAATGCCCATCTT